CTGTATTAATTTATCGTTATGTATAATATATCGTGTTTTTAGTGTTTACCGCGGGATAAATAAATCATAGTTTATTAAAAATGTATTGCACTTTTTAGATTATGTTTAAATCTTCTAAATAACTAGCCATATTTTTATAGTAGTTTTAATATTATTGAGTCCGGCCATGATCCCACCGCCATATTGGCATTATCGTTAGCCACACCTACCTACGCCGTTTTTAATACACACGTTAATATGCTCATAGCTTCTCCATAGATTCTAACTCGATGATATGAATGTTAAAATTAAACTGTTGAAAATGCCATATTCGCAATTTTGAAACATTGGACCAAAAAAAATTGTTGATTGACACAAAAAGTAAAGTAAATAAACGTGAATGTACTTTTTTGGAAAGAAAAAGATGATAAGCCCTTTAATTTTGTTATTAATCTAAGAAGGATTAAACATTAGACACAAAAAATATAAAAATTTTCCCATTTGTGAAGGCACTAATTTTAGATTCTCTAAAAAGGTTTATCTTGCTTTCCTGAAAAGTACCACTTTTGACATTCAATAGTTGAAAATAGTAGGGACGATATATTGTTGATTTTACCAGCTTAGTATAACAACATAAACAGGAAGGCTATGTAGCAGAAATCAGTTAATAATTCTTCAATTTTAAAGAGATGTTTCCAATATAAATGAGCCACATCGTAGAGTACAGTACTCAAGATCAATATCAGCTAATTTTAGTCAAGAAATCAGTGCAACTTGCTACCCATATTGGTGATGTTAACATCATGTTCAGTAAAATGTAGGAGGTAACAGAAACATAATAATTGAATTTTGATTTTGTTTGTATAATTTTAATGATCCTTCTTATCTTTTTCAAGGGATATGTTAATTTTTTTCAATCAATAAATTTTATCAGATCAGATAAGTGTTTTATTTTGTCAATTTTTGAAACTAAATACAGCATCTTCTTTTTAGATATAATAAATAATCAACAAAAAATTGTTTTGTTATCTGAATCTCAAGCAAGTGTTCACATGATAAATAAAATAAGTATTTAATCAAAATAAAAAGATATGATTAACTTTGTATTATGTATCACAAAGAAAGGATATCTAAAAGATTATTTAGAAAAGAAAATTAAACATGAATACTATATTATTACTCTTCACAATAGGTTATAATGTCACAACTTCGACTGACTAAAACTTGCCCTCTAAACATAGAAGGACATATTTTTGCATTCTGATAAAATACTATTCAAAGATAATTATCTTTAGTTGCTAAGAGATATTTTAAAATTTCTGTACTAAGACATCCAATTTTTCAAATTGCAACATTTAAAACCAATTGGACCCCGTTATGCTACAAGGAATCAACTAAAATTTTTTCAAAAATGAAAGATCTTGGTTCGAATAAACTGTAAATAATATTATTCATGGTCTGTAATAACGAGCCAAATGTTCTGGCATCTCAGCACGATCTAGTGGACGATAGAACCATATTGCAGAATAATAAATTTGGTGGTACAGGTTCAAAATTCAATTTTGAACGAAGTAGCTTTGGTTCCTTCTTGCAGGTATATGTAACATCCGATAGTTGGTTCCATGTTGTAGATTTGTTTCATTAGGTTTCTGATTACCATTGGCAATCAATAATTGTGAAATTGTTACCTTACCAAAATAAATTTCTATCTCAAAGAGTGCAACACATTATGAGAAATGTAACATTGATCCCATCAACTTCCACTGAAGCTTGCAATTTGCGAGAGGTATATGTATTGATTTATATTTTTTTTAACTTCTAACTTTAAAAACATTTTTAAAATTGTGTAGAATATTGTATTTTTTAGTTGCTTGTATCTAATAGTATGTTAGTTAACAATTTTTAAAATAATAAGCTCTTTTTGTTTATAATTTTTTCTGCCACTTTGATTTTTTTTTTGTAACATGTAAGATGGTTCCTTATTGCAAAATTACTTTTTAGGTCCAGCCAATTAACAGCAAGGAAAAGCAGGGACCAAGTACCAGGAGTAGTTCATGTGCATAATTAGAAATCAGTAATTTTAATGAACACGATATATCAATTACTAACGATATGGGTAATTAAGATTCTGATGCTTCTGTTAAGGAAAAAATTTTGAACCTACCTACAGTGACATATCTTCAGATGAAAGTTTAGATCAAAATCTAAGTGAACAACAATCTACTTTAAATGCAGGAATATCTCTCTCGGGTTGTCCAAGAAAAAGAAGAAAGAGAAAATTTGCACAACAAGATAGAAAAGAAAGAAAAATAAAAACTAACAGCAATATGGAATATTACTCATCAAGAGGAAAACTAATCAGATACATGTGTTAATGTGCCACTAAATGCCATAAAAAAAATTTCTTTTCAAACCCTTCAACAGTTTTTCAAACACTATTGGCACTTAGCTGATTATAATCTACAAACTACATTTATATCAACATCCGTTAAAGAACATCCTGCACAGAGCAAAAATTTGCAGGCCACAAATCCTGCAGCACACAACAGTTCTCAAGAAAAAAGTAGTAGTTTGTAGAAATATGTATACCAATACATTGCAAGTGTCAACTAAATGCATAAATACTGCTCTTCAAAAAGTAAGAAGTTGACTACACTTGATAAGCCAGGAGTCTGTGGTGGACACAACAAAATGTCAGCAGATGAAAGAAATATTATAGTTAACCATATAAACCAGTTTCCACAATATGTATCTCATGACTGCAGAGCATGTAAAATCTACTATTGATACATTGCAAGTGTCAACTAAACACATAAATACTGCTCTTAAAAATGTGATGCCTGCAGAGTATTAAAGATGATGAAAAAGAGGATATTGTTAGACAACAGGAACTGCATTTGGAACAAGCGTAATTAGGAAGAAAACAAATGAACCTTCACTTAACCAAAGCAATAGAAGATGAACAAATAAAAACTCTGACCTTTGATTTAGAGAAAACGCTACCTTTACCTCACATATCTTCAAATATTATATTTTATAAACCACAGTTTTGGCTTTTCATTTATGGCTCGAATGACAGGCAGGCCTTTGAGCTCAAGAAGTGGGGTCTTGTCTAAGAAAATATATTTTCAGTAATTTTAGCGATAAAGTTAAGCACATTATTCTGTGGAGTGACTCTTGCGGGGTCAAAACAGAGACTATAAAATGGTTCTTCTGTTAAACTGTCTTCTAGAGGAATCACAGTATTTAAAGACTATCAGGTTGAGATTTTGAGCTCCAGGTCATACATTTCTTCCAACTGATAGTGGAATGTGCACTTAAAAGGCAGTATAATATATTTTGTCCTGGGGAATATAGCAATATAATAAAAACTTGTAAACAAAAACGACTCATTAATGTAAATATTATAACACAAGAAGATTTTTTAAGTACCACAAAATTAGAAAAACAATTCACCAACAGGAAAAAAAGTAAAACCAATGAGACAATAAGTTGGTTACAAACCACAGAAATTAAATTGTGTAAAGATAAGCTTTATAGCATATTTTTTAAAACGACTTATCAAAGACACTGACGATAATACAGAAGTAAGCATAAAAAAGGAAACACGAAGAGAACCTTCAACTTTGCCACAGCTTGCCACATATTTGGAACCATTGTGGCCTAAAGGTGAGCCAGTTTTGGAAGCAAAACTTACAAAGTTATCTTCACTTAATACATGTAAGTTAACACAATTTCTATACAAATCTTATAGCAGATAATGTAATAGAGGATATAGTGGGATTTAACAGAAATCCAGATTTCGAACCAGATGCAGATTGTTAATGTAATTTAACAACAAAGAACCACATGATTTTTTTCTTACTTATGAGTTAACTTTTTAGTTGTTAATTTGATTATAGCATTAATATCCATAAGTTACAATAAATGTGTTTACTTTTGAGTTGTTTTTTATTATTTTTATATCTAAATAATTTCCTCAAATAAATAAAACATTTTTCTTGATTTTCTCAAAACTAAGTTAATGTCAGTTCGTTTCTTGTTGCATAACGGGGGCCAATTGTATTTGCTAAACTTTATTAATTATCATGCACACAAATAATAAATTGTAGGGATCAAAAATTTTAATTTACAGTGGCAAAATATGCTTTTTAAATTTGTAATAACCTAATATATATTATTGTAATAACACTAGTTCCTTTGTCACCTTGGGTGTGTTGTGTTTTTCATTTCAGTCAGTAATTATCTTTTATTTATGGATAGAAAATATTTGAGTTTTATATGGAACTTGAAACTGTACAGTGTATTGTATGCCACTCAGGTCAAAATACATAAACAATCTTAAATGTTGACCTGAACAGAATGCTTATGCTTAACACTTTAACACATAATCCTAACTATCTTTAAAAAAGCATATATCCTTATCCATAAAACAATAAAAGCAATATAAACCTATGTAAATAAACTTCGATAGTACTTTGAAAGTATTCTTAAAAATTTAGAACCATGCAAGAGGTCACATCAGGTTAAAAACTCATTTAAACATATTTATATACTGCTAAAAGTAGGAAGGAAGTGAAAAAAAGAAATGGTCAGAACTAAAAAATGACAAAATGATTAGTCCTTGGGAGACTACATTGATGAAATAAAAGTGTAAATAAGCTAGCATATCTCTACAAAATCTTGGTTTTTCCAGTAGATAAATTCCTACTATAAATATAACCTTAATATTATATGCTATTTACTATTTCCAGTTTAATCTAAAATTCCAGAATTGAGTTGATTTAATATCAAGAAGACCATTGAATATAAAGGTGTATACTCGTTGCTTACACTTTGTATCATATGCACGTTCTTTTGTTTGTTTATGTAGGAGATTGCTTAAAATTTTCATAAAGAAAACAAAATAAATTTTATAGATGTTGATGTAAAAATATTTCAGAAATTTATACCCAATGTGAGCGTTGTGTGTGAGACATATAATAAGAATATTTTGGCTAAAAACTACCATCGCTACTTACTACTTTTTTCAAGGGAAGTATAATCACTAAAATAATTTTCTGTTAACATAATTGACAAGTATACAAATGCACAATAACAAGTAACACTAACTATATCTTTACTGAACAGCTCACCTCTTGAAACTGATGTAAAAACATTTATCCAAAACACTGATTAGCAAAAAATTACCGAGAAATGGGTTATTCCCCAGCTTAGTTTGTGGGCACTTCGTTAGATTTGCGCAGTAAAGGGGGAGAACTAAAAAATCCCCTCAACCAACGCTGAGGTCATAGTATGTGTAGAGATGGCAATAAAGAAAATGATATACTAGGTTATTTTTATTGGATTGTTTGATTTTTCGGACAACTGTTACAGCGGGTTATTTAAACTTGGTATTTATAATAATGGTACTACAATTTGTATTAGTTACATGGAATTAATATTTAACAAAAATATTGGGTATTAAGTATTAACGTTGTTGTTAAAGATTAAATCAAATCTAAGTAGGTATAGAATAGAGAGAAAATTCAAACAAAGACAATTTAAATATAATACATAGAAATTTACTAATAGATATTTAGGATTAATCGAGACAGAAAGGTCAGATACACCATAAAAATAATAACCACATTAAAAATGAGTTCCGTTATTGTTAAACATCTTAAAACAATAACGTCTTTATTTTAGTGTTCGAAAAAATATATATTTTGCTAGATAATTATTTATTTAACTGACAAAGTATCATTTAAGTAAATATACTCAAGTAACTTATTGTTAAATAAAATTATTTTGCCATCTCTAACTTTACGCATGCTTAATAATTTAATTCTTCAAAGAAATAGTTTCGTGTTATCTTATCTGGGAGGTGATATAAATTTTAATATCAAAAACTTTTTCCTACAAATAATGCTTTAATAGCATTTTTTGAACTATTTGCAAAAAAATGTTTTTTGAAGGGGGCAGATAAATATTTTCTTTGGATTAGCAATAATCCTTCTGCCTTCTATTTTACATGCATGGCCTTTGTTAGCGTACATATCCAGCAACATAAATTTCATTGCATAGCTAACATATGTGGAAATTATTACCAGAAATATAATTTTGGCAACTACTAATTATATTTTTTTATATATTTTGTGACCATAATTGGAATTCTAAATATCAAAATTTTTAAATTATATATTTTTTCTGTACTTACTTTTAATGTAATTTTTAACACTTGACATGACAACAACGTTGATAAGAATTCAAATTGTATTGACTTCTTCTTTTTTCACACGTAGATATTATACATCCACCCTACATATTTTCGTCTAATTTTCATTTTATACTTTTGCACATTATTTTTTGCAATTTTGGAAACAGTATTACCACAGTATAGACAATACTAAAATTGGGTAACCTGTATAGATTTATAAACAGTTGTTACGTTATTTTAAGTTATTTAAAGCAACATACTTTTAGTCACGTGACTTTTATTCCTTGGAGTGACTTTGTCGGAGACGAATAAAAGTTAAGGAAACCTAATTTTATTGTATAAATTATTAACATAAAATAATCTTTGATAATTATTAGAAATATAGACAGCATTATATATAGAATTACTGCGTTCAGTTTATATATGCTATATAAACAATTATGTACATAGTTATTAATGATGAATATTATTATTAATATAAAATAATCCTGGATAATTATTAGAAATATAGACATCATTGTATAAAGAATTACTACGTACATTTTATATATATATAAAGTTATTTCCATAAGACGAAAGTTTTTCAAATGCCCGCCACAATCAATACACAACCGTATTTTGGGTTGCATAGATTTATGGAATCACTGGCATTTTACTGTTTTTTAGTTTCTTTATTATTTGAACTAGGTGGGTAACTCTTCATAACTCGTATTTTCAATGTGCGGTTCCGCCGTAAAATATATTGTCTCGTTTTGATCATTTCCGTTGTCTGTATTTAGGTTTTCCTCAAAGTATTCTTTCCATATCATTATAATTTTTTATTTCTCTGTTAGTAGTTTTCCGTCCATGTCTTTGCATATTGTTAATTTAGGTCTAAATGACTGTGTGCTTCCTTTTATTCTTTTATAGAAGTTTTTGCTCTCGTGTCTGTTGTTATGTTCGAGGATTTCTTGTACTTGTTTTTTAAAAGCCTCTCTTTTTTCTTCTGCATATTCCAGTCGCTTGTATTCTCTTTTCGTTATAAATTTCTCTACTATTTCTTGTGTTTCTTTGAAGTTAGCCTTATTCTGTTATTATTGTTTTTAATTGTCTCCATTCTTCCTCTATAGTATCTTCCTTTTTGATTCCGTTGAGTTTTATTTGTAGAGTACATATCTTGATATTCTTTTGTCTTTGTTGGACTTTTGAATGCATTAATATTCCATTTTTTAATTTGTATATTTTTCCCTTTTGCCACTGTCGCGATTTTCTGTAGCTGGCAGCCCACGGTAAGATGTAGGATGGTTTCTTGGGCTTGACATCCATATCGGTATTTTTCGTTTTGGACCTGGGGATCTTTGACAATATATTTCAGGTAATTTATAGTTAGAATATCATGATCCTGAATAAGTAAAAAAACCCCATTAAAATTATACTGATATTAATGAACATTAAAACTTTTTTAGACGAAACAGGAGATCTCCCGTTATAAAGCACTTTGATAATGTTCGAGACTTCTTCAGTGATGAAGACTTCGTAAGGAATATTATTGTAGGGGTGTCAATTGTTCGTCGTGTCTTCAATCAATCCAGCTTTGGTGTTATGAGTAACTGACGTTTTTGGCTTGGGTACCATTTATTTCCATTTTTTACAGTCGAATTAAGTTCCTCATAGAAAGCCTTCTTCGCATGCTCAAAAAATATATTGTCGCATTTGAGGTTGTTACCAACTTTGTATCTTCTTAGGTGGCCTAAATAAATGGAGAGTTTTTTTAATGTGTTGAGGCATTGTCGAGATGGGTTGTTTTCTTGATCATGATAAGAGTGTCTTAGAGAGTATTTAGTAATAATTCTTCAGCTCTCTTGATTATTTTTCTACTACTTATCCTCGGATGTATACCTTCATTTGTCGAATATCCTTACGCAACAATTCAATCTTTCTCAGTAGTTGTTTTTCCCGAAATGCAATTCTGTTATCAGTCCTTCCGGGATTACTACCCCGTAGTGTTCTGATCATTTCCATAATATCGGTTCCCTGTCTGTATAAGGATACTTTCGTCAGTGTTGGCGCATTTGCCGAATACATTATAAAACATTATGCCTAATTGAAAAATTAATGCAGTTTATTATATATTTGCAATTTAGGATAGGAAAAAAAACTGATAAAGTTGTGAAAAAGTTTTCTGTTTAGACTCTCACAATAATTTATTTATTCTTATTTTTATACATTATCAAGACATATATTTAAATTATATGTAAATATTACAGTTCAGTTTGCATATACATTTAGTATTTTTCACTATATCTATTAATAATTAAGATTCACTAGATGGTTTATGTTTGCTTGAATTTAAGGCTTCAGCCTCTTCTATTGTATCGGGAAGTTTACAGTCTAACGTTTCTGGGAGTTTAAGACACAAGATCGCTCCAATTAAAGGTACTATGCCAAAAATTACAGGCGGGATCCACGGTTCGACATTTCCCAAAGTTGCTACAAACGGTGCTATCATCGAGCCAATTCTGGCACACATGGATGATGTTCCAACGCCAATATTTCTTACTACAGTTGGAAACAATTCTCCGGAATAAATGTAGACAGTTGGAAACGATAAAGCTAGGCCAAACATACCAATTGAGGACAGCATGGTTCTGGCCCAGGGTAAATTTGACGGAACGAAACCTAAAATAAAATATTTGTACATCAATATTTACCATGTTTTATTCTTCATAAAAGACATTAAACTTAATAAATTAATTATCACTAACAATAATTCTAAATCACTAAAAGAATGAAATAATGGAATATCAAATGAATCTCATTCACAGGATGAATGTTTTGTGCAATTAATTTTTGGCCATCAGCAACATCATGCCATCAGCCTTGGTATCATGTTCGGAAAGATTTCCGCGGTTAGTACAATGAAACTTACAGCTAAGATTAAGATTATTACTAAAATTAATATCAAACTCACCAGTCTTCTGGGTTGAACCGCGTCGATATCCATTTTGCCGAGCTTTCGGCATCCTCTCTGATGCCTTCCTCAGAGCTTCCGAGGTCTCAGTCTCCCGAGCCCCCAGACACTACTACACTGTTCACTGTTCACTTTAGTAGTGACAGTGCAGTGATAAGTGAACAGTGTAGCAGTGTCTGGGGGCTCGGGAGACTGAGACCGAGGAAGGCATCAGAGAGGATGCCGAAAGCTCGGCAAAATGGATATCGACGCGGTTCAACCCGGAAGACTGGTGAGTTTGATATTAATTTTAGTAATAATCTTAATCTTAGCTCTAAGTTTCATATATATATATATATATATATATATATATATATATATATATATATATATATATATATATATATATATATATATATATATATATATATTACTTCATCTAATTTAGATAACGACTTACGTCATTATCTACGTCAGAGATCGAAGTTGACATAGCTGCCAAAGTATAAAAAAATCCTGACTCCATTTTAAATCAAATAGGTCACATAATTATTGCAAAAGTATTACCATCTCTTTACAACGACTATTTAAATTCTAACGTGACATTTTTGAAATAAAACACACTAATTTTGTTCTAAAAAGAACAGATTTTATTAAATAGGTAAAAATATAAAACAAGAGGTATTCACTTTAAAATTCAAAATAATAAAGTACAAAAAGTGTCAACACCGCAACTGTCAAATAAGTGTTACCAATTTATGCCAAAATTTTACCTTCGTTCGATTACAGTTACAGTGTGTTCCGAACAAATGTTCTTGATAAAAACTCTTTATAATGGATTTATACAAATTAAATGAAACATATTATTGTGTATTTCTTTAAGTTAACATTAATAGAAATTTTTAAATATTATTTCTACGCGTATATAATAAAATATGCCTAGTGGCTGTAATGCCAGTGTACTCGGTAAAGTGATTCTAAAAAGAACACACCTAAACCCTAAATATTTCGTGTTGGTATCATATGACGTCACAGGCTATGACGCCGATAATGTGCACCGTTATATAAATTAGATGAAGTGTAGTTATATATTATATAGGTTATATAGGTAATATGGCATGTAAGGTAATATGATCATCTAACAAATTTCGTACTTATTTTGTTTTTAAACCATAAAAATCTTGATAGCATCATAGTAATAGTCATTTATTGTCGAAATTGTCAAACAAATGGTGTCAATTTCCCCACACGTTGGACGAGTAACTTTACGAGAGTTACGTGGCTGTGGTCATATATTTCTTCCTGTGACCATATTAGGGGCACTGGGAAAGGTTGAGCCACATTTTTTCAGCGACCTAGTAATTGCATAAAGTTAATAAGACTTCTGAGATGCTATGTGTTCTCCGTATTATTTTATGGGTTGGAGGCTTGGACATTAACGAAAGATGTTTCGGACAGATTAGAAGCCTTCAAGTTATAGGCCTACAGAAGAATATTAAGAATAAGTTGGGTGGATAGACTCACGAATGTCGAGGTGCTGAGAAGAATGGGAAAAGATAAAGAGGTTTTAAATACAATTAAAGTCAGAAAATGTAACAAAAATGCTTTGTGCTGTGGCACGCCAATGTAACAAAACGTGTAGGATAATGGAAAGGATAACATATAATTTAAGCTGGCTAGCAGAAGGTGCCGGAGAGTGACTACTTGAGACTCAAAGGAGAATTCGGCCAATTTGCATGCCCTACAGAGACCGTAGAATTAGAAAATGAATGACAAGGTTATAAAAAAAACTATAGGTATATAACTAAGATAAATAAAAGTGATTGTAGAAGTTGCTCCGAAATGTGAGTGGGCGCCAGGAAAGTATTTACATAAACTTTCCAAGGTATCTTGTAAAGCTGTTTGCTGAAATAAAGAAAGGATATAGGTATGAATTGAAATATTTAGTTTTCACCAAACTTTAATCCCTAGCCAAATATATATAATTTAAATTTAATACACCCACCACCAATTATGTACAGCTAATCTAGTTATATAAAAAAAAATAAATGCCCTGGTTATACAACTGATCCTGGATGATCTAAATTTACAAATAATAAAAAATGGAAAAAAATGGTAATAATTGACCTAAAAAGGTAATTTATTTGCCTCAGAGATGCAACTCTCTATTCTGGCTTTATTGAATATAACAGTAACAAGTAATAAGGACACTATCTTGACGAGGTAAGTGTCCAAACGTTTAAATATATATTGATAATAAAATCTAAAAAAAATAACTCTCTGATTAAATGTGTACACAAGAAACCATACAAGTGAGTTAGAAGGGAGGATTTAAAAACCTCTACCTGTAGTTGACAATTTGTATTTAAATATTATTTAGTAAATTATTTTAAAAAATGACGACTCTTATTATTAGATGAAATACTAGAAGTTAAATATACAAAAAAATATATACAAAAAATATTATAGGTAAAAAAAATAAATCTAAGAAATAAACTTAATCCAGATTTACTATATTTTAAGGGAGATAATTCCCGCTGGTTTCCTAAAATTTGTTTCGTAATCGGAAGGTCAGATCTGGACCTCTGGGGAGCAGCGACGGCAAGGAAAAAAAAACAGGCCTGGAACCAGGTATAACCGGACTAGGTTTCAACTTAATAGGTACTTCTTATTCAAATTATTCAAAAAAAAAACCAAAAGCAAATTCTTCCCCCGACTTCTGTTTGACTCCCAAAGGTAGGCTAAAAAAACATTTCTTTTAGAGTTCTTTCTTATACTTTACAGAGTAGGAAAAAAACAAGGTTTATGAACCTTGAAAGGTTTTATAAATGTTACTTATGAATTGGGAGAGCAAAAAAACTTAATGGTTTGATAGATAATTTGACCGTCGTCTGGTTTGACAATTTAAATGGATTAATTATATCGACAATTTTAATGAAAAGCATATGATACGAATATATTTTATAATATAAAGAGCGATATAAGACAGAATATTTTAACGATACTCTTAATAGCAATTTTACCGAAAGATAATTATGTTTTACGCGGAAGTAAAATTAAAATACATATGATTTTAAATCAATTAACACTTTCTATTTAGATGTTGAATATTTCTTAATGACGGATGGAAAAAAGTTCAGATAAGTATATCGAATTGAAACGTGACAATACAGGATCTCAAAATGGCTGATGACTTTTTTTATTTTCGTTTTATTTATAACTTGGATACTTACGGCTCACAGTGGCTATAAACCAAACAGGACACTCCAAACAAAAAAAACCCAAACTAAAACTTCCTATTACTTCTTCATAAAAAAAACTGTTAAATTCCAAAAACCACGCCACTTCTGGCCCCTACCTTGGACTCAAGTTTCTGCCACCAAAGTTCAAACAGAAGTGCGCTTCGGGTACTCTATTTGAGCTAGCTAAACTATGATTTCAAACTTGGACGCTTGGTGTCGCTGTTTCATACCAACTTAAATTTTAAGATTCAGAAAATCATTAAGAGGATTGAGATTTTAAAATTTATTTAAAAAATGTTTACGGAATGATATAGTAACGTTCCCGTTACAAAAACTGCAATATCTGGGACATGTTATGAGGAGCGAGCGTTATAACTTGTATAAATTAATACTGCAAGGAAGAATACAGGGTAGAAGGAGTCGTGGAAGAAGACGCAACTCCTGGTTAAACAATTTGAGAGCTTGGTTTAACTGCACTTCTGCTGACCTCTTTAGAGCAGCAGTATCGAAAGTGCAAATTGCCATGATAGTTGCCAACCTTCTTACAGGAGATGGCACATTAAGAAGAGATTAGGTGTTTAGTTAAAAAAAATTACTTACTTTAAAGTGGCCATATTGCCGACACCATGTTGGTTATATGGCTAACAGCAGTATTTTTTTAATGTCATAAATATCGTATTTTCATAACATTTTTAAAATTTATCAAATCAATATATATCTAGATAAACTATATAATTGTAATATCAATTAAGTACTGTTTTAAAGATTTTAATACTTGAATTTGGTCCCAAATACAGAAACAAAGATGTTAAGGGGGCCATATTACCTGTATTATCTATTTCGTGAATTGGTGCGAACTTGGTAATGTATTTCAACTTACCCATTATAAAAATGGAAAGGCCGCTTACAATGTTAGCTATCAACAAACTCTTCTTCCGCCCCCATGCTTTCGTTGCATAACATGCAAATATTGTACTAGGGACTTGAATAACAGCAGATATGGCAACGTTAACAAAAATATTTCCACCAAGTTGGCCGATAAACTGAGACACTCCGAAGAAGCATAGACCGCATACAAACCAATTAAATCCAACTGCTATGGTATATACCCTCATGATCGGCGTTCGTACCAAGTCTAGAATATTTCCTTGATGAATTTCTTCCTTTTGGTTTAGACGTTTGTGTTCTAAATAAAGATTAACGTCGTGTTCAATTTTTTCTGTTGGTAGTTTGTTCCGTTCGGCTGCTTTTTTTAATGTTTCAATTGCCTGTTTTTCTTTGCCAACTGCTAGTTGCCATCGAGGTGATTCAGGAAGAATCCAATTGTATGAGATCAGAAAAAGCGAAGGTATTGATATCATTATTTGAAAATGCCTCCAGTTTCGAAGATAATAACTAAATAGCGGCATTAGAAGATGACCTAAATTGAATGGTATTTGGTACAAAATGCCAAGAACTGTTCTCCATTCGGTACCTGAAAATACATTTGTTATATTAATAATCTGGTAAGTCAATAAATATTATAATATAATAATAATTAACTAATATAACGAATATTTAAAGAGTTATGATGTCATAATGCTTATGCCATAACAGTGAACAGAGACGTCCGCGATTTTCAAAAAATTGCGGAACATTTTTTGTGTTCAACAAATAAATCCCATATCATTTTTGCGACTTTGTGAACAGTTCGTTATCTTGCAAAAATTGAAGTCCGAATCAACAAAGTGTGTATAGTAATATTTTATTCTGTTTAGCGTTGTCCATGTATTGCGGGTCAGTTTAAAGCCTGGCGGTTTCTGATCGATACAGGCTATTTGGTGTGCTTACTGTGGTAAGTCGCTCTCCCATTTTCTTCTCCAAGCGTTGGTGAGGTTGAAATGGTCCTGATGTAAGGAGTTGGCTTTTAACAATGGAGAATATCTGGAGCGCAGTCTGTTTATTTCGATATCAAGCTTACCATGGTGGATGAGTAGTTAATGGTTAGCCTTTTGGATTTTATTATGGATTTTTTGATATTCTCTGAGAAGAGAATGACTTCTTCGCAGTTTCGGCGGTGAAATGTGACTCAGACTGGTAAGCCAATAGTTCGGTGCGGGTCTAATTGTACCTGAGATCACTCGCATTGTCTGGTTTAATTGGGTGTCAATAATCTTCGTGTGTTTGCTATTGAGTCATACCGGAGAAGCATATTCAACCACCGGGTATACAAGTCAGAGAGCGGAAGATCTGAATACCCCGTGTAGTGCCACATAACTTTTGGATTATATTATCTCTTGTTTTCAGTTTTGCTGTCGTTGTTTGTAGATGTTCTTTAAAACTTACTGTTCTGTCCAGAGTCACTCCAAGATATTTTAGTGGTGAGTTATAAGTGAGCAGTCTGTTTTCAAAGTATACGGAGAGTTTTTTGTTGGCTTGGGCATCATTCAGATGGAAACAGCACACTTCGGTTTTCATTGCATTGGCCCGTAGCCTCCATTTGCGAAAGTATTCTCCCACAATGGCAAGGTCATCCGTTAGAATTGTTTCTGTGATATCTATGTTATTATGTCTTACTGCAATGGTCCAATCGTCAGCGTAGCCAAATTTCTGCGAAGTTGTCCCAGATAGGTCCGCGATGTATAAATTGAACAGTAAGGGTGCCAAAATAGATCCCTGTGGCAGTCCATTGCTGAGCTTCATTTTTATACTTTTAAAATTTTCCATTGTGACTTGAAAAGGTCTGTCGGTGAGCATGTTATTAATGAGTTTAGTTACCTTTTGACACGGGAAGGCACGGATTAGTTTGCAGATTAGTCCTTGTCTCCAGACAGTATCGTAAGCAGCTGATAGATCAATGAAAGCAACGGATGTTTTTTGCTTTCTTTGAAAACCTGCTTTAATATGTGTTGGTAATTGTTGGTCTGTACCCTGCTTGGTCAATAGCTATTAATTCAAATATGTTTCTACCAATTGTGTTGTAGATTAAGCGTTCCAACAGTTTACAGACACGTTATTTGCCTTTCCTGGTTTTAATATGGCTATAATGGAGGCATTTTTTAGTGAATGGGGGATTTCTTCTGATTTTAACATATCTGTATAGAAATCAGCCAGCCAGCTAGGAAACCAGCCATTTCCTAGCATATTTGCCATAGTGGAGTAAAAAATCTGAGTAAAGACCATGCTTTTCTGCTTGATTTACGAAAGTCTAATTTTTCTACAGGTTCTAAAGATGATATTATTGGTATTTTGATGCCAATTTCTATTACAACTGGTCTATGTTGGCTATGTGGAAAATCTGACAGTACTGTACGTGAAGCTGCCAGTGGTTGACTGTTTTCATCTGTGGGAACAAAACATAGGTCTGGGTTGTATTCTCGCCTCCAGGCTGCAGATCGAAAAGTTCCCCGATCTTTAACGTCGACGACTAAATAAGTGTCAACCTCTTCGATCCAGTTTTTTAGAGCCTCTTTGTTTGCAGAGTTCATGATGACTATTAAGGTCTCCCACATAAACTGAGGGGTGTGGGGTGAGCGTGAATAACATGCGGAGGCCACAGGACTGCCGGGGGTTTATAAATATTGCTGACAGTAATTTCGTCAATTTGTATAGTAACCGTATGAATGTTATTTATGTCTGATGTAGAACATATGTGTGCATTTTCTATTTTGTTTCGAACATAGGTTGCCACTCCATAAGCTGGATGGTAAGTACTCAATAAATCATAGCCATAAATTCTTCCTCTAGCGAGAATTTGTTTTTCGTTTTCTACATGGGTTTCCTAAATTGCGACCACGCTGATAATATTTTCAATGAGTATCTTTTGAAGATACTCACATTTACTTCTACTAATACCGTCTATATTTAAATGGCAGATTCGGATGCTTGGTCTGAGTCCTTTTGTCTTGGCTTGGTCCTGAGAAGGTCCATTTAAATTGTTGGTTGGAGGCATATATTCTTGATCTGTTCTTGGCAGGAGATCATCGAGTTAGAATCTATGGAGAATGCATCACGTGATTAAAAACTACCTTACTTCGGCCATATTGTTTTGATACTTTTGACAGATCGTATATGTTTGTTTACATTTGTTGTTTTTCTAATATTTTTAGTTTTATAATACTTTTATAGAAACTGCAATATATTGTGATAGTGCATAATAATGGTTTCTTGTTCTCAACGTAGTTGCAGTAGCAGAAGCAATGTTAATAAAAATATCTTCAGGAATATCGTTCCACAGGTTAGTATACAAATATGTAAACAAAGTAATGGCCCGTACTTCAGAGAATAAATTAATAGTATTTGACTGTATTAATTTATCTTTATGTATAATATATCGTGTTTTTAGTGTTTATCGCGGGAAAAATAAATCATGGTTTATTAAAATTTATTGCACTGTTTTAGATTATGATTAAAACTTCTGAATAACTAGTCATATTTGTATAGTAGTTTTAATATTATTAAGTCAGGCCCTGATCCCACCACCATATTGGTATTATCGTTAGCCTCGTCTACCTACGCCCTTTTTAATACATACCTTAATATTCTCATAGCTTCTCCATAGATTCTAACTCGATGCAGGAGATCTAGAAATTTTAGATTATCTGGCTACCTATTGGTTCAGTTCATTTAGCATTACCCAGAGTGCACGTGTAGTGTTCTACTACGGACGCGAACTAGCTTTACACCCCTGGGGTGTGCTCTACAGAGGACCTCGGTTAGTCAATCCGAAGTTGCCTCTGCGTTTCCATCTTAATTTGGTAGGTTTGTTAAATAAAACTTGGTATACAGCCAGCTACAGGAATTTTTCCTTGTGGATTTTAAATAAAACTTAGTTTAACGTCAAAAAAGGTCCTAGCAAAGGAGTCTCAGGACAATCAGGAGGCAAAGCCCCGTGAACTAGGCCCTCAGGCGCAGGACACCCTACGTGTTGACCGTAGTAAAGCTAGGTCTTGGAAAATTCACCCTTTTTATACACTTTATTTAGTATCGATATGTGCATTTCCAAGTCCATCGGCCAATCGTAAATTCGTATGAGGTAGAAAGGCGGGGCGATGCGCATCGACGTGCTCATTGGTCCATAGACTAAGGCACGCGATAACAGCATGCACCCTTTAACAGGTATATTGGATATGTTATTTCCCATCCCCACGACTTTAGAGTGGCTAACTTCATGTTGTTCATATACAGAACTTACGATATGCATTAATTGTACATGTGTTTGAAAATATAAAATAAAGTTGTTCATTTATTAGGTATGATTTATATGATTAGATGCGGACACCAAATTGTGGTGTAGAACGACTTTCGAAATCTTGGCCATCGACGCAGAGAGCAAAAACAGAAATTATTTGGAGAGACATAGGGAAAACATGCAAATGCTTGACTTCGTGGTAACGGTACAACCAAAGATTATAGACGGATATTCTTTGCGCATGTGTCTATATTGTTTGGTACAATCATTGGATACAGAAGAAAATATGAAAACTTAGAGAAGAAATTGTTTTATCAAATTGGGTATTCTGTTCGGGCCACGTTCTGCGTGCTTCATCCAATTTACAGTCGCCATAATCGTCATACTGAGTGGACTATTCGCAGTGTGGTGGATAAATTTGGTATTTCGCTGTCTGTGGGAGTGTGCTGGAGAATCCAAAGCAGAAAATTTCACATTGCTCACAAGAACTCAGTCATTCTCAGACCACAACTTGGCGAATTTTTTTATCATCATTTGGGCGTTGTGACAAAATTCAATTAATCCAGAAGCTAAAAGTAAATGACCTAAGATTACGACGTGTATTCAGTGAATGGACCCTGAAGCAGCTGGAAACTTCCCCTAATTTTCATCTAAAAATCATCTTCAGCGATGAGACTCATTTTTTTTTTAAATAAAGTTAATTTCTCTACTTGGCGATTAGTACCATGTAATTTTTCAGATGCTATTTACCTTACTGCACTATTAAATTTATTTATTATATTTATTTTAAATGTATTCATCTTGTAAGTACAATCCCTATACTATAGACCTTTAGATTTTAAATAATTTGATAATATTCTTTAATTACAAATTAATTACCAGCAGTTATATTTTAAATTTATTAATTTTCATTTTTACAAATAATATATTTGGATATTTAGGTTACCACCTGAAGTTTTCCAAAGAATTTGCTGTGTGTTATAGCAGAAGCTGATAAAGATAAAATGACCAAATATACTACTTACCGATTATCTCCATGATGAGTACGAAGCTTGTTATCATAGTACCCCCTGTCGCTACTGCAGATAAAAATTTTAAGATTAAGAAGAGTGTAAACCATGGCGAAAAAGCTGCACCTAAACCGGAGAATCCTTGAAGAGCAACAGCTAGAACAAGTGGTAATTTCCTACCAAATCTATAAGTAAAAGTTGTCATTTAATACATTAAATTAATTACGGATTCCTATTCACATTTTTAAATTATCTAAAAATTTTTTAAGAAGAAAAGAAGACTTTTCTTAGGTACATTTTTTGCCTTAACATTTTGAGGAAAATGTCTCTTGAGTTAATATTTTTTGTGTCTTCCAGAGACTATTTGGCCCCTTCCTTATTTCTCCTGTGTTAGAGCTATTTATTGTTGTACCTATAATAGGTTTATTCTATTGAAATAAAAATTAAAAACAAAGTGATGCTTTATGCTTCCGTCTTCCTGTCCGTGTATTAATTCATTCAAAAGTGCAACAAGAAAAGTGCACAGTGCACTTTTCTTGAATATACGTTGCTACAATTAGTAGTACAATTAGTGGTAACGTATATTCTAACATATCTTTATATGTATTACAAAAAAAAACCCAAAAAATCAAACAGTGAAATACTGCATTGTAAGTTTACTTAAAGATAACCTTCCAACAATTATGAACACAGTAAATTCATGTTTTGTGTAATCTGTTTAACTTAAAAGATGCATGTTTGGGATTATCGCAGTCAAATTGATAACTGCAACAATAACAATAACAATACTGTAAGAGAAGAATATTGTGGAATTCCTTGATTATAAATAATGAATAATCTGATATTTTTTTATTAAAAAATCTTTTTTATAGTCCATTCACCATTCCCAGTTCGAACTGTCTAGTGAATTTAATAATTATTTTTTTGCGAAGTTAGTTACTTTTTGACAGACTAGAAGTGGCTGGAAATTACTATACAACCAAGCACACGTACTCATAGCCAATATTTATTAGTAAATAAAATAAAACTTTTCGATTTACCGACAATCAATATTTATTTATTTGCACCATATAAGGTATTGATAACAAATATTAAACTTATTTAGTGTACAAAATAAAAATATTTTGAAGAAAAAAATTCCACAATATTAAGCAGTCACCAGTCAATCAGAAAACGCCTTATGGTACAGAATAATCTGAGGTATACTTAATTGTTTGTGACGTTTTACTAGGATGAATTCAACATAAATAAATTTTGGTTTTATTATCTTACAAAATAAGTATACTTCCCTATGCAAAGAGGATTTAGCAAAGCACATACATGATAATATAAAAAACAAAGCAAATATTAGTAATTTCCAACAATTACAACAACAATAGAACTATATTTAATAAAATAAACAACGTGATTAATACAAACATTGATGATATGAATATGGTTAATGTTATGGGTTTAGTATACACTTCCACTAATTATAATAATTTTTCTTTTTTCAATAATTAAAGAGTCTATAATTATGAAAGTTTATTTAAGCTGTTAAAACTGTGAGATAGAAACTTTTGTAAAGTTTATTTAAGCTGTTAAAACTGTGAGATAGGAACTTTTGTATTGTAGGTTTCCAGCTATGAATCTGTCAAAATATGCCCGAACTAAACGAATGGACCTTAGTAAGTTTTTTTCTTCCTGAAATGCATTTTCGTTGGAGCAGGACTTTTGGGATCGATCATATAACGATTTGATGAATCCCTTTTTGATATTTATTTACATGTAACGATAGTGATAAGATTCAACGCAAAGAATACCAGAATCATACTAAAATTCATCCAAACGAAGCGCTGAGAAGGTGAAGAAAATCCTGCTCTAGAATAGACATACAATTGAATGAGGAGAATACTTTGTACATCCTTCATTTCGCCGATGATGAGAATGGGTTCTATACGTGAATAAGTTAAAAACATAATGCTTGTGCATTGGGACCCCAACAGAAAAACTGATCATAGATGAGAACACTGTAATTATTTCTAGTTTTCCAATAAAAAAACACATGTTTATTGATATTTCAAATTAATAAAAATATTGAAAGTCATTGTGTCTATAGGTTTTCTTATTGTACTTTAAGTGATTTGAAAGAAAATTTTGCAATGCCAAATCCAAGAATGTGACATTTTGGAAGGTGGGGGCTAATAAACAGAAAAAATAATAAACAAGTCATAAAATGTCAAAGTAGATCCTATTTATCTCCCAAGAAATGAAATTATTCCGACAAAAATCTGAATTTTCACAGAGTATCAAAACCTTCAAGCCCAAATATCTCCAAATCTCGATTTTTTACGTTCATGGTTTTGGCATTGGGCCGAAGATATATAAAAGGTTTATCCGAACAACTAAGGAATCTTTTAGCCAAACATAACATAACAGTGGCTCACAAAGGCAATAACCTTTTAAATAAATATTTCACTAAACTAAAAACTCAAACTCAAAAAATTTTGTTTATGAGATACCATGTATTAACTGTGAAGGTGTCTATATTGGGCAAACCAGTCAACTGATTCAATCCAGAATTTTTTCTCATAAATACACTCACCGGCAAAATTAACGGAACACCTTAAAAATGGGACATGTTAGATGTCTCGAATTTTCTAAACCTGTTGTCCGATTTTAGTGATTTTGTTAGTATGTTATAGTTATATTATTTAAGAATATCGATGTAATAATATTGTTGCTAGACAGGTTAACGTCATTTTATACCGGTTTGTAACAATCATACTGTGTTTTTTTCCTTAAATTTCGGAACACCCTGTGGAATATTCTAGCATATATAAAATATTAAAATTAAAACTCAATTATAGCCTTAGGCTTTCTTAACAGTTTCTTTTTTGATTCATTTGCTTTGGTTGGATAATATAAAAATTAGGTACTTTAACAACTAGCTATGTTTTTCATCAATAAATGCTCATTTTCTGCTTAGTTTAATAAACAAGCCTAAAGCAGGCTATGAGAAGTTAACAATTTAATACACACACCGGCAAATTTAAAGAAACAAGTTATTAATGCAATATTTGTTTATATTTGTATTTTATAGACTATATCTACATAGCTTTGAATGCTCCTTTAAAAAAACCAATTTAAGTTCAAACTGTACCATAAAGTTAATGTGTTTAAAATTCGTATTTTGTTTGAGTCTGACATCTTTGTGTTTTATTTCTTCTTAAACAGGTTTTATATTGTACTACCATTGTAATATAAATTCAAAATACTTCACCAACATTCGTAATATGATATTATCTAACCACTATTAACAATATATAGACTAGAGAGAAAATACTCAGATTTTATGGTTGTTCCTTTAAATATGCCGGTGAAACTAAGCAGAACATAAGCATTTATTGGTGAAAAACATGGCTAGTTGTTAAAGTACTTAACTTTTGTGTTATCCAACAAAAGCAAATGAATCAAAAAGAAAATGTTAAGAAAGCCTGAGGCTATAATTGAGTTTTAATTTCAATATTTTATATATGCTAGATTACTCCACAGAGTGTTCCGAACTTTAAGGAAAAAACACAGTATGATTGTTACACCCGGTATAAAATGACATTGACCTGATTAGCAAAAATGTTATTATATCGATATTCTTAAATAATATAACTATAACATGCTGAAAAAATCACTAAAATCGGACAACATGTATAGGAAATTCGAGACATCTAACGTGTCCCAATTTTAAGGTGTTCCATTAATTTTGCCGGTGAGTGTATGACAAGAACAACATCACTGCGATCACAAAACATGAAAATGAGAAGAAGCATAAATTTGACTTCGAAAACATCAAAATTTTAAAGACCGAGCAAAAAAAAACAAGAGGGAGATATACAAATCAATAGAAATAAAAAAAAATACCAACGCAATCACCCAAATCCACCACAATCAATGACCAAAAGATACACAGAATTTTAATAAAATATATTTCAATCTGATTTAAATAACAATGAATACAACACCATAACAGACTTTTAAAGGCATTTCTTCACTTTTTACCTGCTTTTTTTTTTGCAAATATCCGAGTAAGTTATTTTTCAATTTTAATTTAAAAAGCGGGAAAATAAAGATATTCTTAATGTTTATGTAAAATATAAGGGAAAAAAACTTATAGACAAAAAATCAAATTGTGACCAAAAATTATTGTTTAATAAAAACGCAAGGTAAAAATACGAGTACTCTTTCATCTATTCGTCATCTAATAACTTCCACCTATGTCGTAAAAGCTTCAGATATCTGCAAAAAAATTTTCGACTTTTTTAACCAGACTCTGCTAAATACTCTTGAGGCGCAGATGGGTAATTTGAAAGAAAAATTAACTGAGGAGTTAATTATTTTTATTTTAGAGGTTGTATTATATGTATGTTATTCTAATACTCTATTTTTTACGTAAAAACATAAGTTGAGCGTTTTCTAAGTATCCAAACAATGGTGATTCCATAATTTTAACCTATTTTGTAACTTTGATAAAGTCGCTTTTAAACAAGGAAATGTGAATTATAATAAAGTGTTAAAGTTCAGTATTGTTCACTTCGAGCCACAATATATTTTTTAAAGGATATTTTATTTATTATATCTAGCATTAGGTTTCCGATAATATGGTACAACGGGTCATATAACACAACAGACTAGTTGATAACACATTTAAATCAATAAATTTAATATTATAGATGGATTTATATTGATAGATTCTACCAGTGTGTAATGAAATCTAACAGTTCCTACATTTTCTAAGTAATGTAGACACAACGGTACCGTCTCAGCGGAAGTTATAAATAGACTTCGCATAATAAGTAATTGGTTGGAAATATTAACAAGTATTTTATGAAAAAAATTCATTTATGTGCAGGTAGAAATTGTTGCAATAAATAAAAGGGAGACAAAAATCACTGTATAGTAGATGAATAAAAAAATCATGACTAGATGCTCGGCAAATATGCACTAAAATATGATTTTTATGCTTTTATGCATTTCTTCTTCTTCCTATGCCGTTGGTTCTTCTTCCTATGGTGTTGTCTGTAAGTTTTTTCATTTTTTAACCAAGTTTGAGGTATCATGTTTGTTGCTGAGTTCTTTCAGTTCCTGGCTCTAAAGCCTTTGACCGTGTACTTAAGTGCAGACTTCTATATAAGCTAGAACATTTCTGAGTTCGCGGTACTTTACAAAGACATTAGAAGGACATTACAAAGTTAGGCTTGGCGAATCTTTCTCACAGGACAGGTTGGTGGAAAATGGAGTGTCTCAGGGTTCTGTCCTTGGACCTCTGCTTTTTACGGTTTATACCAGTGATGTTCTTTATAATGTCTCAAGTCAAATATCATTCTACGCTGATGACACAAAAATATATGCCAATCCAATCACAAACCAGCTAACCTATTTTAACTTGTTGTTCCCAGTGGCTTGGTCTAATTGGTAAAAATAACCCACTTGTGCCGTACTTTGTTAACGAGCAGCCATTACATTCTGTATTCTCGTATAACGACCTTGGTATTATCGTGAACAGCAGCCTAACTTGGCCCGACCATATTACCTCGATATCTAAACGTGCGAACTGTATCTTATTGGGAGGTGTTTTTCGACAGTTCCAATGCAATCATTTAACATACATAAAAGAATCAGAGAATTAACAGGAATGAGAAAAACACTTCAAACTAGGCAACTAAGAGATGAAAGGGGTGCACTTATGACAGTTATAAACCAAAAAATGCAGAGATGGACACAATATATAGCACAACTTTTAAAGACAAAGAAAGAACAGAAGCACCAAAAGAATTTAAGGATGATACTGGGCCCGACATTATACGAGAAGAAATTGAATATGCAATGAAACAAGCTAAAGGTGGTAAATCTCCCGGGCCTGATGAAGTTCCTATCGAATTACTTAAAATTGTGAATACTGAATCTATTGATCTTCTTTTGGATCTGTTCAATACAATATATAGAACAGGTATAATACCTAAAGAATGGCTCCAATCAACATTCATACTGCTTCCCAAAAAAGCCAATGCAAATGAGTGCAATGAACATCGCACCATAGCCTTAATGAGTCATGTCTTGAAATTGTTTTTAAAAGTAATTCACAATAGAATACATAAGAAATTAGATGAAGGCATAAGTAATATACAAATGGAATTTAGGAAAGGACTGGGAACACGAGATGCACTGTTTGCAGTAAGTGTTCTTTCGCAGAGATGAGGAAGTATATGCCTGTTTCATTGATTTTGAGAAGGCATTTGACAGAGTGCAGCATAATCGACTTAAAGAAATTTTATTAAATAAAAACATAGACAGTAGAGACATTAGAATAATCTGTAACCTCTATTGGAATCAAACAGCAAAAGTGAAAGTTGAAAACGAACTGACCAAGGATATCCAGATTCGGCGTAGGGTCCGCCAAGGGTGTATTTTATCACCCTTGTTATTCAATTTATACAGTGAAACCATCTCAGAATTAGCGCTTGCCGAGATCAGTGAGGGCCTTATAATAAACGGTGAGCCACTTAATAACATAAGATATGCTCACGACACCGTCCTTCTGGCAGGAACACTAGAAGAACTGCAACACCTTGCTGAACAACTAAATATATATTGCAACGATTATGGACTAAAAATAAATTTGAAGAAAACCAAGTTCATGGTATTTACAAAAGCACAAAACATCAAAGTTAAGATAGTACCTACTAGATAATACAGAAATTGAACAAATATCTTCGTACAAATACCTTTTAGCATGGATCACAGAAGATACTGATCAGACAAAAGAAATAAGATGCCGCATTGAAATTGCGCGGTCAACTTTTAATAGAATGAGAAAACTTTTTTGTAATCGCGATATCAATATATCGCTCCGGATAAGAATGCTTCGATGTTATATTTTCTCTACCCTTTTGTATGGAGTTGAAGCTTGGACACATAAAAAATCCAACATTAAAAACCTAGAAACATTTGAAATGTGGTGTTACCGACGCATTTTGAAAATATCATGGATGGATCGCAAAACAAACGAACAAGTTCTCGAACAACTAGGAAAACAATGCGAAGTTTTAAATTTCATAAAGATCAGGAAATTGGAATACTTGGGGCACATCATGAGAGGTGAAAAGTACGAACTACTAAGGAATATAATGCAGGGTAAAATCAAATGTAGAAGAAGTGTAGGAGGACGTAAAATCTCGTGGCTACGCAATCTCCGTGAGTGGTTTGGATGCAGTTCAATTAAACTATTCAGGCGAGTAACCAATAAAATTATAATTGCCAGAATAATTTCCAATCTCCGATAGGAGTGGAACTTGAAGAAGAAGAATGCAATCATTCTGTAAACTTTACGTAAGACCTATACTTGAATACGCTGGACCAACGTGGTATCCTGATTTGGATCGAGATCAGACTTTGTTGGAAAACTTTCAAAGAAAAGCCACTCGAATTCCTTTGAGACCGAGAAGTCCTTCTTATGCAGAAAGACTTAGTATAGCTAACCTAACTTCTTTTGAACTTCGCCGAGACTTAATTATTAAACATTTAAAATATTAAATTCAATTTCGGAAATCTAGATGAAATGTTTACCATAAATCAAGATCAGAATACGCCTCAGAGGTCATCAGTTGAAAGTAAAGAAAGAAAACTTCTACAAGATCAAGACAGAACTTTCTTCCAAATAGAGTTTTTGAGTGCTAGAATAACTTTAATGGTAACATTATCTCTGCTCCCTCTACCAACTCGTTCAAAAACAGACTTAACCGTTTTATATTATAGTTAAAATACTGTTTTTCTTTTAAACCAAAAATTGTAATTTTGTTATTTTTTTTTGTAATTTTATTATTTACTAGTTATTTACTAGGTTATTAATGAAATTTCTTTGTTTTTTGGGCATAATAGTGACTTGTTCCTCTGCCCTTGCTTATGTATAATAATATAATGTATTCTAAATGTTGTATTTATTTTTGTACGATAAAATTCATGTATTTTAATTAAAGGAGAAGACAATACCAAACCGTTTTGTTTTTCCCGAATATTATGCAAATTACAATATCGCATCTTATAATTATAGTACATAAAATTTGGGAATTTCCTTTAAAGATATCTTGCAACGCAAATATTTGTTTTTATTTTGCGCACCATATTGACCTTCAAATTCTATATATTTTAAAATATTCAAACCTATTATTAATCATACACGTTTTATAAAAAAAAAAAACAAAAAGAACAGTATTTTTAATTGGAATCATCAATGTTTACTTACTTGTCAGACAAAAATCCAAATAACATATTTCCAACTAAGATTCCCAGCATTGTTAATGTCTGAGTAAGGCTGAGTAAATACGATTTTGAACACACAAGATCCCATTCCATGGATATAGTGTTAGTAAATATGGACCTAAAAAATATTTTTTATATTATACAATATGATAATATCTTTGATTCTAGATAATATGGTTTAATTTGTTACTTTCTCGTACACCTTGTATAAATAAAATGAAACTTGTGTAAAACTATTGTCATAAACTACTGAAATAAAATGATAAATGGTGTATTCTGCAAACAGCTTAAAATTCAACAAACACCAGAAAAAAGAGGTAAGCGACAAAATTTAATGTGATACGGGTATCTTAGCAACATACGGAATAATACTTTTTTCTTAACGGAAAATAATCATTTTAATATTTGAATAAAACAAATAAAAGTAAAATAAAACTAAAGTAAAAGTAAAATGAATAACTTTATCTTGGATCTGTCGAAAATCAGTCCATAATTAATATTTTCCATAGGAGTCCCATAGAGTTTCCAATTTTGCTGGAATCATTTTAGGATGTACCTTGTGTTTATTTATTTAATGAAATCTAAAAAAATCGGATATGTAGCTAGAAGTTGAAACTTTATGGTTTATTAATTAAAAAATAGCAATAATTGGGAAAACAACTTTTACTTTAAATTTTTTCCACCCCTTATAATAGACATAACATACAGCCTCAAATAAACCATAAATTCTAATCATTTTCAAATGAAAATATATTTTCAAATTTAATAAATTAATAATTATTATTGAAATACTGAAATAAATGAATATTAATATATAAATTATTTTAAAAAGCTGGATTTTTTTTTGAAGAAAGATTTCCGCGGTTAGTACAATAAAACTTAGAGCTAAGATTAATATTATTACTAAAATTAATATTAAACTCACCAGTCTTCCGGGTTGAACCGCGTCGTAATCCATTTTGCCAAGCTTTCGGCATCCTCTTTGATGCCTTCCTCAGGGCTTCCGAGGTCTCAGTCTCCCGAGCCCCCCAGACACTACTGCACTGTTCACTATTCACTGCACGATCACTACTGTAGTGATAGTAGATCACAGTAGTGATCGTGCAGTGAATAGTGAACAGTGCAGTAGTGTCTGGGGGCTCGGGAGACTGAGACCTCGGAAGCCCTGAGGAAGGCATCAAAGAGGATGCCGAAAGCTTGGCAAAATGGATTACGACGCGGTTCAACCCGGAAGACTGGTGAGTTTAATATTAATTTTAGTAATAATATTAATCTTAGCTCTAAGTTTTATATATATATATATATATATATATATATATATATATATTTATATTTATATATTTATATATATATATATATATATATATTTATATTTATATATATATTATATATATATATATATATATATATATATATATATAAATATTTAAAATATATTCAATGGTTGAATAGCAGAGGTTTTATCGGTCAATAATTGGCAAATGAAAGTCGTCAACTACCTACTTCATTGATTTATTCGAATACGTTTCGCATTTATTTTTAAAAGCATCATCAGTAATTAGTGACCGATAAAACCTCTGCTATTCAACCATTGAATATATTTTAAATATTTATATATATATATATATATATATATATATATATATATATATATATATATATATTTATATATATATATATATATATATATATATATATATAAACAAGGCAAAAGAGACGTTGATAAAGATGTACATATTGCAATTCTTAGAAGGCACAGATTAAAGCAAAAATCTGAATTTGGTTTCGACAATTAGAAATCTTCGGATTTCGAGTTTCGTGATTTATTATCAGATGTCGCTATTGCGTCCATATGGAAGCCATTTTAGCGTTGCTTCTACTACGACAGGAAAGATTGTTTTCACGTTCAGAGCATCTGTAAATAATCGCTCCGAGGATTGTTATTTTGCTGGTAAGAGCAAATCAATGAAATCTCGGGTAAATTCCTAACGGGATAGGGACGAATGGGTCACAGCTGATCTAAAAAGTCAACCAGCTCTGCCAACTAGGCTACCTCCTACGTCCACAAAGACATGGGTCCCGTAATTATGCATAATTATCGGCGTTTTATGGGAGTACGTTATATAGCAGAAGGAGGAGAGTGAAAAGCGGGTTTCGGCCCATTATAATCAGAACACACCAGCGAACCCTTACTAACCCGCACTGAGGCTGCTTGGTAAGGTACGCCTGACAACCCCTAACATGAAAGACACATTCAAATCATGGCCCTCATTCTTCGTAGTCTCAAATGGCACTGAACTGGGTAGCTTTCGGGATCAAGGCAGAAGGGTAGTTGCTAAGAATCTAAACTGTCACCCAAATAAACCAACAACGCTTTATATAGCGACATATAACTGCCTCTCGCTATCAAATCAATCCAGACTGTAGACTTGTAGAACTGGAAAACGAAACTGAAAATATGAAATGGAACATCACAGAAATCAGCGAAGTCAGACGGAAAGATAATGCTATCGGAATTAGCGTCAGGAAATACATTCTACTCTACTTCTCGGATAGAGTTATTTTAACCATACAACTATCAAGGAGATACAATATACAAATTATACAAAGATACGTTCCTACGATTATTCAAACTGACGAAGAAATAGAGTAACTCAACAGTAACATAACTGAAGCAATAAATAATAATAAAAGTCAATTTAAGTATTTAATTAGTAACTTTAATGCCAAAGTGGGAAAAAAACGGAAAAAACCAAATCATGGGAAATTAAGGAGTCTATAAGAGAAATAAAAGGAAGAAATACTACTTCATGCAAAAACATGCATATTGCAAATACATTCTTGAAGAAAAAATCGAAGAGAAAATAGACTTGGGTCGCACCAAATGCAACTACTAAAAACGAAATTGACTTTATTCTAACCAATAAGATTTATTCTAACCAATATAATTTGAGGATCGCAATAACAAAATGAATATAGTAAACTGTCTAATAAAACCAAAATAATGCTATAACAAAAAACAGAAATAAAAATAATTAGCAACATACAGAGAATACAATGCACAGTCTTTGTAAAGATAATAAGGACAATAAGGAAAAGTATTAAGAAAGAAAATACAATCGAAAACAGAAACAACTATAAGAAAATAAGTATACAAAGTATACAAAGACCTTGACACACTTGAAGAAGTAATCAGCACCCAAGAAGATGTACGAGAAGTCCTTCCGGATGAAGTAAAATCGACAATTAGAAAAATAAAAAGTGGTAATGACAACACTTTTTGAACATAATTTTATCTTTATATATTTTTTAGTAGATCGATATAGTGTTTCAGTAAATGAGTAAATTGAAGTTGCAATCAGTAGATCTATTAAAAAATCAGTAGACGTGGTAACCCTGCGAGAGATAGTAATGGGCAACGTACAGTCACCAAAACATGGCGGTTAAATAAAAACTGGCTTCATTTTTCGAAGGATTATTAAATGAGCATTACCTGTCCTCTATCTTTCTTTGTCTAAGTATGTAATGCTCCATTTTTAATAACCTTAAACTGTCAGCTGTCAAACTATTTTTGTTTTTTTGTTGTTAACTCTTTACTGAATAAACGGCGCAAATTCAAAACTTTCGTGAATTTTGGGACACCTTTTATATCGATGCGTACAGTAGAGTCAAATCAGAATGAGAGATGTAAGAAAGAGATAAGTGCATGTCTGACAAAAACATAATATTTAATTAAATTTGAATTTTAGATATCACAAGAGATTAGCTATGATTACGGGCGAAAAGTAGTCAAAAAAATGAGTCGTGGGACAATACCCAAGAGATTAAATGTCGCATCGGAAAGGCCAAAAGTGCTTCTTGGCTATGAGCTCTGTGTTCAAAAGCCACGACCTAACCCTGAAAACAAAAATAAGGCTCCTTAAATGTTACGTGTACTCAGTGCTTCTGTATGGAGTAGAAACGTGGACGTTGAAGGCGGAAACTCTATCAAAACTTCAGGCGTTTGAATTATGGTTATACAGAAGAATCCTGAAGATACCATGGACAGACAAAGTCACCAATGAAGAACTACTGCGGAGGATGAACACAACTGCGGATTTGGTCAAGATTGTGAAGAGCCGTAAGCTGGAGTACTTGGGACATATAATGAGAAATCAAGGCAGATACGAGCTACTCCAATGCATTTTGCAGGGTAAAATTGAAGGAAAAAGAGCCCCAGGACGAAGAAGAATATCCTGGCTTGCTAACCTGAGAGCATGGTATAGAAAGACCTCAACACAGCTATTTCGTATAGCAACCAACAAAATCATCATAGCCAGAATTATCGCCAACGTTCGGAACGGACAGGCACCCTAAGAAGAAGAAGAAGAAGAAGAAGAAGCGAAAAGAAGTAAAGCTGACGAATATATGTAGATTAAATCAACGATTACGGCATATTCAATATAGAAACAAAAATTGTCAAATTGAAATGATTGGAAGTATCTTATTACTGTTTAGAAAGAGTTTTAGGTGATCTTAATATTGGTACACTGTTGTAATAAGTATTTTAAAAGTATATACTTACGTATCATATTGAAAATGAGTACAATTGGACAGACATTTTTCTGTTGCATTATTGATACAATAAAAATTAATAGGTGGAGCTAGAAATACTATACTAAGTTGGTGCCAAGAAACACCAAATTTGACTAGAAATATTATTAGGCATAACCAAATATGCCACCTTCCTAAAACTCCTATACATTTTTGTATAATATCTTCTTCTTCTACTTCTGTGGGTGTAGCTGTTTCTTTTTCTTTGCCATTTTGAACTAAAACAAAAAATAAATAATTAGGAATAATTAGTAATAATAATTTACTAATATTTCCTAATATTAGTAAATAATATTAGGAAATAATATTTCAGCCCAAAAAAGATCAGTTTGATCTCTGTTTGCAGTTTAGCAATTCATTAGGGAGTCAAAGAGGTGATATTACAGAAAAATATGAAAATCATTTGGAAGAAAAGAAATTGAGCTGATTAGAGAAAAATAGAGACCGAAGAAACGTTAATGGATATAATTTATGCGTTTATGATCTTCAAGCAATTATGAAAAGTCCAAATGGTGAAACTTCATGTTTTTATTATAAGTCCAAACTAAACAGCTACAATTTTACAATTACTGAACCACAGAATAAAAAACAATCTGAACTCCCACTCTCCATGGAAAATTAAGTACGCGCATCTCGTTGGCGCAGACGTTCCGCCATGTTTTAAAGGAAACCAGTGTTGTTCAGTGAAAATTTATGTGGTGTGCATAGAAAAATTAACCCATTTTAATTGACTTACGGCAATCATAGACATACTATGCACTTATTTTAACATTGTTAAATATAATACCATAGATATAATTAAATATAATATAATTAAACATAAATATAAAACATTTACATAAGGTCACAAATTCATATGTCGATAAAGACCCATCACACTAAATGTGATTCTCAATCCGAGTCTGTGTTCTGTGTTTCCTTCTAAAACATGGCGATCGCGTGCTGAAAAACTTCAAAGGCGGCATCTGACAGTGGGCATTCTAATTGTTTATTATTCTGGTGACTGAACTAAATAAGCTGACTGACGATAATTTTGATGATTATAAAAGCAGTTAATGATAAAAGTATAAAAATAAACTATCTACTACTAAATAATAATAATAAAAATACTATTTTCTAATGAAAATAGATCGTCTAATGACAATAGAATATCAGATCACTCCTTAGTTTTTTGCCAGAACTTTTCCATTTATTTTGCCTGTATTCGATTATAGAAGTAGATGTTTTCGATTGTTTCTATAATATTAATTCGTATATTTCTTTTATAAAGTAGATGTAAGACGTCTTCGACTTGAATGCGATCTATAAATCTATCTTCGACAGGTCTATAAAACTTAGATAAGCTGGTTTATTATACTCGATGGCCTTTTCTGTGATTTGTCTTCGTACAAATACGGCATCTACGCAGGATCTCCCGGGTCTGAATCCTGTTGTTCATCTGATAAAGTTGTTAGTTTATTGATTTTGTTGGTTAGGACTTTTGTGGTAAGCTTAAGTGCGGTGTTCAGTAGATTTAAATCTCTATAATTATTATGGTGTTCTTTATCTCCTTTCTTAAATATTGGTATCATTATGTTGTTTCTCCATGCGGCTGATATCTTGCAGTGCAATATTAGTTTTTGTATAAGTTTTTCATCTCTAGAGTTATACTTTCTCCTTCGTGTTTCAGAAGCTCATTGGTTATTTCCTCTGATCTTGGTTACTTTCTATTTTTGAGTGAATTTATGGCTATCTCTACTTCCTGAGAACTGATTTCTATTTCGTGTCTTATTTCAGGTACGATATTGTGTTGCTTTATTATTTTCCTTTTCTTTATTCGAAGCGATTCGGAAAATATTTTTTTCTTATAAGTTATTTAACATACACAAAACATACAAAAAACAAACGATAGTGTTTTTTATATCTCGTTTTTTTTTTCAATTTTTTAGAAGCAATAAAGAAAAAAATCGGTGGCGCCCTTTCGGCAATTAGATTATCATTTGTTTCTTTCTTCTCTTTATTTAATACTTTTAGTTTAATTCTAGTAGCTGTATTCTTTTTTTTTTTCTTTTTTCTCAATTCTACTTTAGTTTGTGTACTAGTATAATTGTCTAAAGAACCACTCCCACATCCCTTCCGACTTTGAGCAACGTGAGCTTATTCATTTTGAGTGCTTCAAACACTCGATCGTTTGATGTGCTACACTACATTAGACTTTTTATTTATTGTCCAGGGTTTGAACCATCGATCTAAGAAATCACTCACAGTAAAGTCTGTGCGATTATCATCCTGCTTTGCTTAGCTATCTGACCTGCCTTGTAAAGATTATTCCTGCATATTTTTTTTTAATGTAACAGATGTTTGGTTTCTTCCTGAAGTTTTATTATTATTTAAACCAGAAAATTACTTCTATTTATTCCTTTGTTACATATTTATCCACTTTCGTCAGTTATTGAGGAGCGCCCTGTTTAGGGGATGAGAATTTCCCCGTTCAATCTGTCCTACATGGTGTACTGGCGAGCTTTGACTCAGTCTCATACCGGCACTATCACAAATGGATAATGATATACACACAAACTCGTGTATATCATTATCCATTTATTAAACGGCGTTGATAAGATAATCTGTTCTAGTCCCTACTAAGTGCTAGGGGAGAACTTAAAAGATTAAATAATACAATAAATTAAATAAATTGTTAAATCAAAAACAATAGAGGATATGTTTGCCGACATGTGTATATGGAGCCAATGTTAAACGTAAATAGATAAATTTCTATATTAGACAACTATTATATTTTATGGGAATAAATCACAAATAAAATTAGAAATATTTTTATTTTTGACTTTTGAGTTCTAGCTTTAAAATCGTTAAAATAAAATATTTCTAATTATTTTTGTGGTTTATTCCTAGAGGATATTATAGTTAAAACTTAAAGAGCTATAGGGAAACGGCTTTAGAACCATTACTTTTTGTCACTTTTTTGCTGAAACTATTATCGATCAGATTATGCAGACGAATAAACCGATTCAAGGTCCATCTCAATCTGTTAACCCTTAACTGGTCCGGCGTTGTCTGACAGACGATTCCATATTTTTAATTATATTTTTTATTGGAAATTGGCACCGCCAACAGGCAAGTCCTTCTATCTAATCCTTAAACTATTGGAGCTTGACAAGTGGGTGTATTTGGGACAAGTTTCTCTCGAGTTCCTAAAAAGTTATCGCAACAATTAGGTCGAGAGTAGTTCCTCAGACGACGCCGGACTGTTGTTGTGACTTTTTTGTGTGTCGTGCATTTTTAGAAATTATGGCCGGGCCATCAAAACGAGTGCGTTCCGGCAATGACGATTATGAGACAACTCTTTTAAAGTGGTACAACGAGGAATGAGTAGTGACAGTGATGGAGACGATATTTCGGAAGACCGTAACATTGAATCTGAACACGATACATGTTCGGAATTTTCTGATTCTGATGAGCCTGCAGATTGTGATGAATTAGCAGTAAGTGATAGTGACAAAACCTATGTTTATGGTAAAAATCGACACAGGTGGTGTACGTCAGAAGTTATCCCCTCATCTAGAACACGTAAACACAACATTGTCATAAAAGTGCCAATTCTAAAAACAAAGGCAAAAATGCTCGGCGAGGCTGTGATACCCTTGTCTGTTTGGAATATGTTGTTTAGTGATAACATTCTACAACATATTGAGCAGAATACAAACACAATATTACGATCAATGCGTGACAAATATTCTGCTAGTTCTATTCATCATATTAGAGAAATTGATGTTATTAAGTTAAGAGCATTTTTGGGACTCCTTGTTTACACTGCCATTTTCAACTCGTCACGAAAATATAGACCGTTTATTTGCAACAGAGGAACTGGAAGAGAAATCTTCAAAGCAGTCATGAGCAAAAAAGATTTGCTGTTCTTTTACTTGCTATCCGATTCGACAATTCTGAAGACAGGGAGGAACGCAAAAAAATGGTACAACTGCAGCTTTTTTATTTATACTCAATACTTTCATAGAAAATTGTTAAAGTGTATACGGACTTGGTCAATCTGCCACAATTGATGAAATGCTTGTAAGTTTTCGAGGTAAATGTTTGTTTAAAATGTACATGCCTAACAAACCGGCTAAATACGGACTCAAAATACAGTGTCTTACAGATGCACGTAATGGTTATTGGTATAATGTTTATATCTACAGCGGAAAAGACTCAGATGGATTTGGTATCATTGACGAGTACAAAAAATTCCTAAAGCCTAGACAACTGCGTAGCGCTTAGCTGAACCGCTCTTTGGTAGCAACCGAAATATCACAGCTGATGACTGGTATTCTTCTATTCAATTAGTGGATATTTTACGAACGAAAAACTTGACGTATGTGGGAACACGGAAAAAAATAAGGCTGAAATACCTCCATCTTTTCTGCCCAATAGAAACAGACCTGAAGGGATGGATTTGGAGAAATTTCTCATGTAGGAAAAGTGGGAAAGGCTACAGTACTTATGTATTCAATGCATTTAAAAACCAGAAATTATTTCTTATTATAAAGAGAATAAGGGAGGTGTAGATTCCCTAGATGAGAAATGCTCCAAAAGCACCTTAAGCTGTCGAACCCGAAGATGGCCCGAAACAATTTTTTCCGAATATTGGACATTTCTATACCAAATTCATATATTCTACATCAGTGTTACAAAAATAATCCATTAATAAAAGAAAAAAGTGTTTTTGCTTTGGAGTTGGCTATGCAGTTAGTGCAAGATTACACGAAAAGACGAATGATAATGACGAACATTCCACGTCAATTACGTCTTACAATTAGCCAGATACTTGGAGTTTAAGAAGAACAAGAGGACAATCAGACGGATGTTCTTATTTTAGAAAAACGCAAGATTTGCAGTTTGTGTCGGAGTAGAAATCGCAGGATGACAAAATACCTGTGCCTGCGTTGGAAAAAGCTGGTTTGTTTGGGATATACAAAACCACTATGTAAAAATTGTATATAAAATTGGTAAAGGTTGACTGATGCTCGAAACAAACATTTTTGATCGATTTTTATTTTACCTAGGTTTTTGTTTACTGTGCAGTTTGAGCATTTGTCATAGGAATACATTTTTTTTTTCATAGTGTTTTTTATATATTTTTTTAATTACTTTACAAAACTATGTACTTTTTCAAAAATATTTGTATGGATGTCAGTTTTATTTTAGTATTTTTTTCTTAACCCAAATA